CTTTTACTTAATCTCAAATAAGATGATTTTAAAGTGTAATAGCGTATGGCTCCATATTTAATATTGAAGCAGATTAAAACAAAATCAATAAAACTAATGATAAAATAATCAAGACTTTGAAATGATTTCAAATATATGCTCTCCCATGGATTCTATTCTTTTTAATCTATCAAGGCCCAATTCTCCCAAGTTAGTTGTGTGAGAAACATCAAGTTGAGCAGGATTAGAAGACCAGGGAATAGCCAATGTGTAAGAGAGATAGACTGAGGTTTTACAATGAGGACATAAAATCCACTCATCATTTAAAAGGCTTAAGAATTCCCTGAGTTGAAGCATTCTGCTAGCAATCTGTAAAATAGATTAATTAGTTTTACCCACTCTGATAGCAAAGATTATCTTGACCATTTGTGTTTCTCCCAAAGGACCAAATACAACATCTAGTGTAATATTATACATGCATGTGGGATGCAGTCACACTAGCATCTTTTTGTTCCAAATGCTTTTCTCACTTTCTGTACATTTATCTCTCATAGGTGATTGTTCTATGCCAAACTCCTCCTTAGAGCTTCATCTCTCCTTGTAATCTTTATAGACTGGGATCCACTCCAATATCCATAATTAGAAGATAATATTAGACATTTGATTAAAATGTCTGTTGCATATAATGGAAACAATATCTAAATGTCACTGTACTAGGAACTATGCTAAATTTGCTATGTGTATATTATACTTTAGTCCTCACAGTAACCTAGTAAGTAAATGCTATTATCACTCCTATATAACTGAGGCTCAGAAAGTTAAATAAATTGCCAAAGTCTAAAAACTATTAGTATCAAGGACATAAACATTTCTAACTTCAAAATCCATTATGTGATAGTTGACCAAAGGACAATTTTATGGACAGATTTCCCAATATTCACACATAATGCAAGATACTTTGCCATTTGTTTATCTCTATCAAATGCATTGACTAAACCATTACCATTTCGGAATAGAAAATTAAATAAAATAAAAGTAATAATTATTTCATAAGGTATATAAATATCTAATCACTATGTTGTAAACCTAATATAGTATGTCAACCATAATTGGGGGATAAATATACAAATAAAAGCTTTAGACAAAATAATAATGAAATAAAAGTAATGGTATTATTATCTACTTGTTTCTACACTCTTGAGCTGACTATAACTCTTTTCATACCCCTTGACAGTCTAAGCATACCCTATTATTTTGACCACATATGAGAAAAGTGTTCTAAATCTGCTCCAGCCTCCATTAAAATCTTTACTGCTATCCCAGTTTTCATTAGTTAATTGTACTGCTTCAATAATTCATACCTGGTCTACTCTTCTACTCAAATCTACTATTCACATTGTTTATGTGTGTATTTTTCTAAATGGGAATGTTAGCATGATCTTAAATATTTTAATTTTCTTTACCTATTAAAAACCTGAAGATGTCTTTCTACCCAAATCTCTATATTTATTTTCCCTAGCATATGTTATATTTCTAATCAAAAGAGCTATTTGTGATGATGAAAATGTGCAAACAAAAACAATAGACAAACCTAAAAATAAACCTTAGGTGTGACAAATACCTAATGTGTTTGTTGTAGTTTTCATGGAAAAATGAAAGAAAAGAAGAGAGAGAGAGAGAGAGAGAGAGAGAGGAAGAAAGAAAGAAAGAAAGAAAGAAAGAAAGAAAGAAAGAAAGAAAGAAAGAAAGAAAGAAAGAAAGAAAGAAAGAAAGAAAGGAAAAGGAAAGGGAAAGGGAAAGGGAAAGGGAAAGGGAAAGGGAAAGGGAAAGAGAAAGGAAAGAAAAAGGGAAAGAGAAAGGGAAAGAGAAAGGGAAAGAGAAAAGGAAAAGAAAAGAAAAGAAAAGGAAAAGAAAAGAAAAGAAAAGAAAAGAAAAGAAAAGAAAAAAGAAAAGAGGGAAAAAAAGGATTACCTGAAAATCCCAGTAACACTTTTGTTCTCTAAACTGGATTTTAACTCCTATATTAATTATTTAATAAATGTTACAAAATAACAATATGCATAGTGTGCTTAAATTCCATATTTCTATGTAGGCTGTTATTAAAACTATAGAGTTATTAATTTATTTTCAAAATTATTTAAGCTTGTTTTTATAACTCTTTAGAGAATACAATTGAAAACTATTAGTAGCATGTTTACTTATTTTTAAATTTCTGCATGTTTAGTATAGAAGTTTATGGGAGAAATAGATTAATTGTGATCAGTTTTTATTATCTAGCCATATGAAGCAGTCAAATTTAAGTTAAGCTTTCAATTTAGCACAAAATGTAGCAGATGATCCTCAAAATCTAAATGTTTCCATAGATAAAAGATAGTGTATTTTTATAAATGTTGAGATTTAATCTTCAGTGCAATTATTAGAAAACTGTAATAAACTATTCAAATTAATTTGTTTAATTATAATATTATATAAGAAATTATTCTCATGGTTTATATAAGTATCTTTTCAAATCATTGTGCATAATTTTATTCTAAGCTACTGTAATATTCTGAATATCAAGATATAAAATCTAAGGTCACATAATGAAATGAAAGATACTATATATTTCAACAATGATTATTCAACAATATATATTTCAAGTGCAGAGTTAAAATCAGATTAATACAGAACTCTAGCAGGCATTTTATTATTGAATTTGTTGGCATGTTTTCGAAACTGGTTGTAATTTTGATAAGAGGAAGATGACTGAAATTGTTTTGATAGAAATATAAAAGAAAAACAAAAACATTCCTTAACCTGTTTCTGCCATTCCTTGCTGACTGTTCTGGCATTTCTGCTATCATGGTACATGGAACAAACACAACAGACACAATAGCTCTCCTACAAGGACAGCATTCTGGATGCATGGCAGGCAAAGCACATCACATGTCATGTATTCCTCTCATCCCTCACAGTAGAAAAGCATTAGAGTTGGAAAAGTCGTCGAGTTATATTTTTTTACTTTATAGATGAGAAAAATGAAACTGAGAAAAATCAGTGTTATAGGATTGTTTGGGGTTGTATCTCAAATACTATTACTTTCACCTTTCATACATACTCTAGAACTTTTGTTCTGAAATCCAAATGATCACTAAAGTGTGACCAAGAGCCATTGCCTCTATCAGTGGAACAGCCATATGTCAGACATGAAGCTAATTATCTCACATAGAAGTTAACCCTTTTAACAAATCAATAAGGCAGACACTCTTCTTTCTATAAGTAAACACACTGAAGCCAGGAGAGATTAAATAATTTGTTCAGGACCTGCTAATATGTGGCAGATGTGGAATTTGAACTCAGTTCAGTTGAACTCCTAAAAACCACGATTTCTATTATACTTTCCAGATGCTTTCTTTAATGGGAAAGGTTGTTTTGGTTCTGGAAGGACAGTTACAGCTTACAATAAAAGGGTGTTTATATCACTGCTAATAATTGTATCCGTGTCAATATCCTTGTTAAAGACATTTAAAATATTACAGTAGGCAGCAGCAGTACAAAATGTAGGTTTTGAATTCCCAGATTACATATTAAAGGGATTGAAGCAACTTACTTGTCTGAATTGTAAAGGGTAAATATAGCAACAAAACTATAGTACACAATAGCAAGTGCAAAGATAAGGGAAGCCCAGGGAGCTATGAAAATATAACTCAGCCTTGGGCCCAGGATTATCTACTGACAGGAAATATAAAGAGAAAACCCTACACGAGGATACTGGCAGACAAAGGACACATACAGAGCAACAAATACACATGCCCTCATTCTGTATTTCTCTTTGGCCACCCTGAGTTTCTCCTATTATTTCTATTCTGCAACTGGAATTACCTGCCTAAGTAACTGCACACAGAGCAAAGCCTGAGCAAGGGGGGTCGGAGGAGAAACTCACTCTGCTGATTCCAATAAGAGGCAGAACTAACTCTGACACCAGTTTTCATGCAGCTTCTAGTGGGCGTGCAAGCTGTGCAAAAAAGGTGTGTTTGTTGACCAGGGTGCTCAACAAATGCCCTGTAATGGCTAAAGCCTGCTTCAGAAAGCAGCTAGTTACTCTGAGGAGTTGCCTCTGACTGCCATAAAGCCCTTCAAGCCCTTCTTTGGAGGAACCTGTAAGGGTTCCACAAAGTTCAGGAATGAGTTCAGGGAAGGCCATCCTCTGAGAGAGGCTAGTAAAGGGCACCATAGTCAAGGAGTTGCCATTTCAGTGATGCCTTATTCCTGGAGACCATAACATGTAGGACCTCTATCTAAGTCAGGCAAGAGTATTCTGATGTAATCAACTGGTCTGAATTATGTTTGGGATGAAATTATAGTCTCATTTCAACCATAGAGAACCTTGTGAATAAGAAGTTGCCAGTACATATCTAATACTGCCCAAGGAGACAATATTCTGGTTTTGGACCATACCATATATTCCTAGTGTGATAGAAAAATCCATTTAGAGAACCTAAAAATTGTGTTGTGATTCTCTATACCCAACTAAACTATGAACTTAAAACTTGTTTTCAAAATAGATTTTACTTAGAGGGTAACAGGTAGAATACTCTTTTCCCCAGAAGAGCAAAATTCAATATTTTAGTTATATTTCCCTCTCAGATTCTAACAGTATTAGCGACCAAATTTAAAAAGTCCTTATCATATTTAAATACAACTTTAAACCTCCCATTAATAAATGAATTAAGGCTTTCATAAATAAATTATTCTACCTGAGCCTGCTTATGTTCAATGAAATTAGAAAATTAAATTCAAATATTGTAAAATTAAAGCCCACACACAGGACTTTCAGATTCCATAATTACTGTACCAGTCCCTCCATGACTTTGATTTGAACAAATATCAGTAAGTTTAACATTCTATGTATTATAAGTAAACTTATATATCCTACAAGTATTATTGGTTATAGAATTATAGCTCAGTGATAAGGATGCATAATTCATAGCTCACACCAGAGTAAAGAAAGATAGATTTGAATAGAAAAGAAAATGTCTTACTTGGTTAAGAATGTCTTGTTTCTGTGCGTGCAGGAAAAAAAAGAATACATGTGTTAATGTAAGATCACTTATATTAATTATTCCATTATCACTGATAATTTAAAGATTGATTTTAAAACATACCCTCCATCCATGGGCCACCAAATGTGCTCTCAAAGCAGCAGCATCAGAGTCAACTGGGAAACTGATAGAAATACCAATTTTTAAACCCCACCCAGGAACACAGAAATGAAAGGGAGGGCTGAGGGAACTGGCAGGAATCTGTGTCTTATAAGACACCTCCAGGTGATTCTGATGCAAGCGTTAAGTTTGAGAATCACTAACTGGATCAAGCTTTGATGTAGTAAGCAAGCAGTTCTAATTGGCATGCCATAAATACAATGAATAACACATACAGTCTAATTAAAACCTTCTGGAGGAGATTATGAAAATAGCAGCATGTGTAAAGATATATTAATGAGTACTTAATTCCCTACTCTTAATGTTTCCTTTTATCAGAATAACATGCCTAGCCTCTTTCCATGTCTTTAAAGATAAATGACTTTTCATTTACATGCCACTACTTCCTGTCTTCCTATCATTTTTTAATATATATTTTTATTGATTTCAGAGAGAAAGGGAGATGGGAGGCAGGGAGAGAGAAGAGGGGGAGAAGAGAGAGTAGAGAGAGAGAAACAGAGAAACATCAATGATGAGAGAGAATCTTGATTGGCTACCTCCTGCATGCTCCCTACTGGGGATTGAGCCCACAACATGGTCATGTGCCCTTGACTGGAATAGAACCCAGGACACTTCAGTCCACAGGCAATGCTCTATGCACTGAGCCAAACTGGCAAGGGCTCTTCCGATCATATTAGATGTCAATGGGACAATTTGGAATGGAATTTGAAATCTAGGCCAAATTTAGATAGATGATAGATAGATGATAGGTAGATAGATAGATAGATAGATAGATAGATAGATGATAGATAGATAGATGATAGATCCAATGTCAAATTTTAACCCCATCCCCAGAACACAGAAACTAAGGGGAAAACTGAGGGAATTAGCAAAAATCTGTCTTAGAAGACACCTCCAGGTGATTCTGAATAATTTATGTCCTGACTGTTTTACTGGGAACACTCTCACTAAGATTGCATGTCTACTACAAACTAGTTGTAATCATACCCTTAACATTATATAAATCACATAAGATTATGTGGAGACCAATAGGCCCTAGTTAGTAATAATTATGTGCCCTGGAAATATGCCATAATAGTTACATACAAAATGCCATTCCATGTACTATTATTTCAAATACATTGAATAGTATTGCTTATGTGAAATAGCTTCCCTTTATTTTGATCTCTCAAGTTTTTCGGCCTAATTAATGTAGTGAAGAATAAATGGCACCAGTCTTAAATTGAGTTGCTAGATAATTAGGTTTTAATTACGATTATTGTCATGAACTTAGCTTAGCTAGTTAACTTTAGGGATTAATTTTACTTTTCTTAAAACAAATTTCTTTATTTAAAAATTCTATAATCATATTTGAAAGTCTCAAAATCTTTTAAACTTCTTATGCTTAGAGAATTTTTAAAGCAATTGTTTAGATTTTATGTTTTATGATTCTTTTATTTATATTTTCAAAGAATGATCATCAAATGATCTTTAAAAGATCAGAATTAAAAATAAATAAATCATCCATACATTGTACTTACTATATCTTCTATATTAAAATAGATTTAAACAGGTCATATTTTCATTGGATTAAATTTTTAGATATGGTGCTTTTTATTAATTCAGTAATATAAATGAACAATAATAAAAATAATAATTCTAACATAAGCAGGTTTACTTTTAAGGGAAGAAGTAATTTTAGAAATACTTATGTAGTTCTCTCTTTATAAATACGTTTTATGTAGATGATATAACTATGTTCATTTTAGAAAACAAAAGATTATTTATACTAATGGCAGAAAACTTTTATAATTTTTCTTCTATAATTGACCATTAAGTATCATCTATTCCAAACAATTCTGAGTTCAACTTGACTAGGCAATATGTGAACTGACAGTATGCATTCTTCATGAACTCTTTCATATGGTTAGAATGACCTTTAAAAAAAAAAAAAAAAAAAACTGGACTGAGTCATGTTCTGAAGAGAACCTTAAGGTCTTAAATATTATTTATTCAACATTGAATATCCCCAATTATTTCCTATTGGCTTTTGTGAAATACATATTAGTGTTTCAAAGTCATATAAACTTAAAAGAAATGTTCTCCTGAAGGGAAAATGCATACTAGCACTAACATTAGAAAGTGGTTCCACTCTTAAATTAGAATTACTTTTGGATCATAATGAGATCTAACTTTTTTTATTTTTCAAATGTTCATTATTTTAATAACACATTTTAAGAACAGATCAATGCATCATGGAGAGGTGTTGCATTATTGAAAAGGCTGCCATCTCATGTGTGTCTAATACTGAACCTAGCAATTATCTCAATAAATCCAGTGTACAGTGACTTAAAATCCTCATTAAATATATAATATCAGTAAGACTAAGTCTTGAGAATCCTTTAAATAAGAAATCACTGAAATAAAAAAGCTACTATGTGAACAACACATTTCAATTGAATTTAGAGCCAGCAGCTATCTTTAGGGATAAAAAGCAGTTTCATATCTGCATACAGATTAGATAACATGCATGTTTTTAAGTCTGGTTGGAAATGTCAATATTAATGACATATTTGGGTCTTATAGTTTTGCAGTAAAGCTGACATGTTTAACTTTCCCACTTTGCTTTCTTGGTCTTTGGGATCTTCAATTCAACAAATTTATCTGTAACACTTTTCTCTCTAAAGCAATGGTTCTCAACCTTCCTGATGCCTCAACCCTTTAATAAAATTCCTCATGTTGTGGTGACCCCCGTCCATAAAATTATTTTTGATGCTACTTCATAACTGTAATTTTACTACTGTTAACGTATTATAATGTAATTATCTGTGTTTTCCGATGGTCTTAGGCTCTACAGCAGCGGTCCTCAGCCTGTGGGTCGTGACCGCTAGCAGGGTCGCCTAAGACCATCGGAAAACACAGATATTTACATTACGATTCATAACAGTAGCAAAATGACAGTGATGAAGTAGCAACAAAAATAATTTTATGGTTGGGGGTCAATACAGCATGAGGAACTGTATTGAAGGGTCGCAGCATTTAGAAAAGTTGAGAACCAATGCCCTAAAGCATCTTGGGAAATAAAATACGAGGAAATGTAGGTCAGATGTCTGCTTCTTTTCTGATAATAAGAAAATGGGAATAATTTAAATTGCCCAATTTTCCCCATACTTTGTAGGCACTAAATATCAACTTTATTTTTTCAAAAGAAAATAACTCTTAAAGTAGGGGTGTCGAACTCAATCAGAGAAGGGGCCAAAATCTAAAATCCAGCCTAAATCGCGGGCCGAATGGTTTACTGAACAGTCATAAACTGTCATTGTGATGGAAACGCAGCGGAGTGCAGTGATGACAGCGCGGTGCGGGCCACATTGCAAGGCCTGGCGGGACGGATTTGGCCCACGGGCCTTGTGTTTGACACATGTGTCTTAAAGCGTTTTAAAAGATTTAGACAGCACAAAAATGTGGCATGAAAATAGCTAATTACTAGAAATCAATAGAAATTATAAAACAACATGGAAGTTTTAAGATTGGAATTTAGACACTGAGTTTTGACTAAAATATAAGTTCTATAAAAACCTCAGAGAAGTACAATGTTAAAAGACAGCCAGGAGCTCTGCTCTGGTAAACATTCAGAGCTACAATGACAATAACAAGACAAGCCACACTTTAATCAGCAAAAGAAATCCATCTAGATGGCTAGATAACACATGCAGGCAAAAGGGTCCGTGGCAAAGGGCAGTGTGCTTTAACTGCCATAGACCTAGGTACTATGACCTGATGAAGCTGAAAAAGCATTCACAGCCCTGATGATCAAATATTTAAAATGTAACACCTCTCAGCTGGCATTAAATGGAGGGTTTTCTAACCATTAATTAGGGAGGGAAAGGAATTCATTCGAGCATGGTGTTCAAAAGCAATCAATGGGACATTAAGTTTTTATAAGGAAAGAATTGCAGGGACTGATTATAGGTAAAAGCAAGATAGGAGGAAGGAAGTCCCCTCTTTTTGTCCCCGCTGGCTCTTTAAAGTATTAGATTAGTTATATCAATCACAAAATCCTTCTCCAGTCCAGGGAATAATTCCCTGAAAAGAGGAACCCCTTGCCCTACACTGGTGTTCATCTGGGGTTTACATTTCTAGGTCAGAGAGAGTCAGGCACCCTTTCTGTCCCCTTCTATCTAATACTGTTTCTGAATTCCAGAAAAAAGAGCTGAAAACTATATTGTAAATTACCTATATCTTTCATGGACAGACGATACAAATGTTTTTTATACTTGCAAAATATTTTGTATTAAAAAGAAAGCACAACATTTAATGTATCTTCCAGTGTACATTTCATTATAAATTTCACTTTCATTATGTTATGGTAAATGGTATGTAGCATATGTACTTTTAAGAACTATTCATTAAGATATTCCTCCTTCATGCACTTAAATGAAAGTTAAAAAAAAGAAAAGAAAAAAAGTTTTACCCCTTCTGGATTATACTTTGCAAGTACACCATTACCATGGAATTCTTCAAGAACATCTTTTAATTTCTTTGTAGAATCTGTAAGAAACAGAAAACACAAACATGGTTTATACATGCCTATGGTGGTTATGAAACACAAACCAGAAACAGAGACATCTTAAAATATAAGCAGCAACAGATTAAAACTTAAAGTAACTTGTAAAATGTTCGTAACCATTTTTGAAAGACTATTTAATTGAAAAGAGAAATCACAAATCACAAAAAAAGGAAGGAACAAGTATATGGCATCACTGTCTATGTATTATATAAATTGATGAGCAAATAAATACATAGACAATATATTTTCTCCTTTTCTTATTAACATCCAAATGAATGAAATTAGTTTTAAAAGAAAAAAACATAGGTATTTGTTAAACTTTGTAATTCATACAGTGAATTTTTCACATATTACTAAATTAACTAAATAATAACCTTGATGAATAAACAAGAAAAATAAAATGTGTAGTTAAGCATCAGTGGTGAATGCATTCAGAAGCAAGCTACAGATTTTAGCATTTTGCAGGTCTTTTCAGAGAGAATTTTCTAAATATACATAAAGCTCAACCCTAAAGCTTATTTTAATTCAATTATGAAACAAAGTTTAGATACATTACTACAAGTATTTTAAATAACTTTTTTCCAATTTTTAAAATAAATTTTAGGACTTTAATCACACTTATAAATATTTCATTTTGTGGACATAACACTTTTTGTTTATCCATTCATTAGCTGTTATAAATGAGTTATTTCCAAAATTTGACTATTATGAATAGTGCTGCTCTGAACATTCAAGCATACATATTTCCATGCCAATATGTTTCAATTCTCTTGGATATATACCTAAGAGGAAAATTGCTGTGTCATATGGTTAACATTTTGAGGAACTGCCAACAAATTTTCACAGGACTATACTAGTTTACAATCCTACTGGCAATGCACGAGGATTTAAATTCCTCAACAATTTTGTGGACACATTATTTTCTACTTTTTTTTTTTTTATTATGACCACCCTAATGAATATAAGATTTTAATTTGTGTTTGATTAGTAATTTCCAAATGACAAATGATGTACAATGTGTTTTCATGTACTTGTTGGCCATTTATTTGTATATCTTTAGAGAATTGTCTGTTCAAGACTTTTGACCATTTTTTAATTAGGTTGTTTTCTATTTGTTATTGAGATCTTCTTTTGTCTCTGTGTGTGCACGCTTGCGCATGTACGCATGTGCTCACATGCTTGAAGCCTATAAAGCTTCTTATATTTTTTTCAGTATATATTTTGCTAGCACTTTCAATACTGTGCTCATAATATGTTATAACAAGTTCCTTACTAGATTATAGGTTTCCCTGGGGAAGAATATGCATATTTTAATTTTTGTGCTTGTATTCAGACTTACTACAAAGCTGAAGCAATAGAATCTTAATAAATATTGTGGTTGATCAGAGCTATTCCTACACTACAACAAATTACAGTTATAGCTTTAACATATACCTTAGCGGAAACTTACACTACTTCAGAGACTAAGTTGTATATTAAAAAAAGACAATTAGCTGATTCCCAAATTCTTCTTTGTGCATACTCTTAAGTTAGCAAGATACCTTTTACTTCCTCTTACTTATAGATGTAGACTATTCTGCAGATACTTACAGAGATATACACAAAGAAGGAATAAATTTTGGGATAAGATATCCCAAGAGACTATGCTTATTTTAACCATATCTTAGCCCTATGATAAAATAAAAGGGGAAGAAAACAATTTGGGTTTTTTTTTTGTTTTTTTTTGTGTGTGTGTGTGTGTGTGTGTGTGTGTGTGTGTGTGTGTGTGTTTTATACATAGGCCTTCCTGTGCTGCCTGAAAATGGGCTTTTCAGATTTCTATAGGAGAAAAAAAAAAGAACACATCCAATAATCATTTTTAAATGCCTAGAGAAGACAACAACTCTTAAAATTATTCATGTCATTTTTAGTGTTTTATTGGTTATTTACATTGGAATATTCTTAGTGAGATAACTACCTGGAATAAAATAATAAATTAAGAGCCAACATCTGTGACTGCTGTTTCCATGAACTAAGGCTCAAGTCTGATCTTGCTCTAAGACAATTTAAAGAGGTCTAATTCATAATCAGATGAACCACCATTAACTCAACTTGCTCCTTTTCCAATGTCAAGTTCCATTTTTAATATTTTGACACCGACAATCCAATACCTATCTCACAATATAATATAGAAATGAGAACACTCTCTTGTTCTTCTATTTCTTCAATAAATTTTCTGGAGCCTAATCTCTCTAACACTGAGGTCTTGACTTGCCCAACCAATATTCTATAGGTAGGGGTTTGGTATAGAACACCAGGGATTCCCACAAAACCTGCCTGGACCCAATAACCTTTAAACAGAACCCAGTACATGAACTGTCTTCATATCTGCTTAAATTTCCAAATTCCCCTAGACTGTGAAAATCTTCCTGCTATGTTCTACCGACCTTCACAGGAGAGTATACATTTACTTACTTTGTAATTCAGCTGCTTTTCTGGATTCTTCCTATTAGCTATCACCATACACATTCCTGTCTTTTTTTTTTTTCTCTGTCAATTCTAAATCATGTCTGTTTAAAACAACAATGGTACAGTGGAGAGGAGGAAAGATGCAAGACTGAAGCTGACCTACCCTCTGGAATAAGATAGATACAAGGAAATGACTCCTAGATGGGTAAATAGGCGAGTGAAAGATAAAGTCTCAGTCATATTTCAGCTAATATTGGAGCCTCAAGTACAAGAGCACAGTGACAGATTCCGGGCTGAGCAAGGCTGAGAAATCTGGGCAAACAGCCAGCCAGGCAGCTGTAAGCTGGGAGATCAATTCACACTTAATACATATCTGCAAGAGAACAAAGGTCTGGCATCCAAGAAGATTGACAATTGAAGTGCAGGGCAGCCAGGTTCAAACAGCTAATTTAATACTTGGGACAAAGGATCAGTACAGATGCTCAGCACAAAATATTTGATCTCCTAGAAAGCAAAGAAGGGTCGCAACTTGAGGCAGTTCGGAAACATGGGCTAATTGCAGAGGCACTGATGTTTAGCTTGGCTAAATAGGGCAGAGGACTCAGAGAATACTGGATGCCAATATTTGCCCTTTGGTTAGTATACCAAGTCTTACCAGAAAGTAGTTTGATATTGACAACCACAACAGAGAGAATGGGATCATTTTAGATAGTCTTTTCCATTACCATCAGTATCATCTGAGTACTAAAGTGGTACAGAGCCTAAGAGTGGGAGTAATTTTGTTCAGGAAACACCTTTTTATATGCTGGGACTTATGAAATGTATATGGGGACCCACAGTGTAGATTTTCTTATGGCTTGTCTTCCGGGCACCTGCTCTAGTGCAGGAGTTGCTCCCCAGTGAATCCTCTCATGTTGGGCTGACTCACATAATATACAATGGCAGAAGAGTGGAATTGGTACATTTTAGGAATTCATAATTAGAAAATGTTCTGATTTTTTAACATGGCTTTCAAAGAAAATTTAATTCCCTTTACATAATTCTAAGATAAAAATAAATCAGTAAGTGCATTTGGCACTGTTTATAAAATAGAAGCATCAAACTAATGGGCCCTAAAAAAATGCTACATGAAAAATGAAGCACATTTAGTTTACCTCATGCCCTTTTAGGTGTCTGATGCATCTTGAATGAGCTTCCTTTGTGATTTGAATGCCTCTCTGCATGCACTTGTCAGATTAATCACAAACGCCCCGTGGAGTAATAGAAAGATTTAAAGCCAGATAGATTTGGATTTGAATCCTGGCTCTATTTATTGGCCCAATGTCCTTGGGTATATTTTTAACTTTTTTGTGGCTCGGTTTTCTAATACTTAAAAATAGAATAATGATATGGATCAGGCAACTGTGTCTTGCAAAGTGCCTGGTGACCAACAAATTCCTGTTCATTTGTTCCATCCTAACCATGACTTCAAACATCTGATCATCATTCAAGTTTCCTATTGTTTTTGGATGAAGGCATAAACCCCTTCTCTTGGTATCATATGTGTATCAGATTCTGATCCAAACCTACCTACCAATAATTATTTTATATGCCTTCCTTATTTTTCTCAGTTCATTTATTGTTGTTACTATTACAGATGTCCCACATATTACCAGACTTTGCCCTACTGCTCTGATCCTTAAAAGGATGCACAAAGAAATTGAGAATTAATAAGCAATTTTTTCCCTGCAGCATTTTCCTACCTGTGTGTTTGTGTGGATATTCTATCTAATAAAAGAATAATATGCAAATTGATCATACCTCTGATATACCCACAAGCCATGCAACCAGCCACGCCCACCAGCCAATCAGAGCGAGTAGGAAATAAACCCAACCAAGATGGCTACAGCCACAGAGAGCAGGAGGGTTCCGACAATGGAGGAAGCCAAGCTTTCCACCTGCCCTTGCCAGCCTAAGCCTCCACTCAATGCTATGAAGTTTCAATTATAGATGGTAAACAAATTCCAACAGATATAGCTGCAGCCACAGAGCAAGCAGGAGGCTTGGCTCTGCTTCAGGCTACAAAGTTTCAATTGTAGAAGATACATAAATCACAGATACCGCTGGAACCAGTTTGGCTCAGTGGATAGAGTATCAGCCTGCAGGCTGAAAGGTCCCGGGTTCAATTCCGGTCAAGGGCATGTATCTTGGTTGCGGGCACATCCCCAGTAGGGGGTGTGCAAGAGGCAGCTGATTGATGACTCTCTCTCATTGATGTTTCTAACTCTATCTCTCTCCCTTCCTCTCTGTAAAAAAGCAATAAAATATATATTAAAAAATAATAAATAAATAAATAAATAAATAAATCCATCCCAGATACCAGGGCCTCTGCTTGGGCGGCCAGGGCCTGCAAACTACCACAGGCACCTCGCTCAGTCCACCCCACACCGCAAGGGAACCCCTACCCTGATGTGGGACACCTTCCAGGGCAAACCAGCAGGCCCCCACCCATACACTAGGCTTCTATCCTATATTAAAAAAAAAAAAAAGTTAT